TGTTATCTTTCAGAAATCAACACATACTGCACACCTACTATGTGTTATCTTTCAGAAATCAACACATACTGCACACCTACTATGTGTTATCTTTTAGAAATCAACACATACTGCACACCTACTATGTGTTATCTTTCAGAAATTAACACATACTGCACACCTAATATGTGCCAGGCTTTGGGGATTCAGAGATGAAAAGACTCACTGACCTCAACTCCGCAATCCGACTCATGTCACAGAGAGAAGAGGCGGTGGGCTTCCTCACGCCGTCCTCTGAGCCCACCCTAACCCCCACACCAATTCAGAAGGCCCGGGTCAGGGCCACTTGCTAGTGCTATGTCCTCAGCAGTCAGAACCTCCAGGATCCCACCCCCACAAGGGCCAGGTGTTTGGGGAACTGGATGGGACAAGGTCCCAGCCCAGCTCCTCCCTCTCAGGCTGCTCCCCCGCAGGGCCTCCCCAGCCTGGCCCCCTCCCTCCCCGATCTGGTCCAGAACCTATGCCTGGAATGTAAGGTTCCTAAGAGCAGGGATCTAGTCCGCTCGTTCACCAACTTGTTGGGTGGGTGCAGCATTCAGTACCTGGGGTATAGAACACTCAGAAAGATTTGTCAAGTGGATGAATGAATTAATCAAAGTTTTAAGAAAATAACTCACTGTGGGAGCCCTTCTCTGAGGCCTGGCAAGGGCACACAAGGCCTTTCACAACTAGCCCGGCCCCAAGAGTCTTCATCTAGAAAGCAGATTGCACTCAGAACCTGTACTTGGCGATTAGCCCCCAACTGCATGCTTCTAATGTGGTTTGTTATCATTTAACCTGTGTCCCTTTGCCCCTCGAGTTAGAGGGTAAGATCTTTGATGGGCAGGAACTTTCCCTCACATGTTGAATGGTCAGTTCGTGGATTTCCCACCATGGCCACACCATCCCTGGAGTCCATGCTAAACTCATTTTTCAGGCCAGAAGGGCTTGTGTCAGAAGAGAATAAAGTTGATGGTCCTCTGAGCCAGGGTCCTTCCTCCAGACCACCTGACCTACTGATAAAATGATGGGTCAAGTGAACATTGCAAAAGACCTGAAAATTTTCGAAGGATAAGCAGAAACCAGTAACAGAAATGTGAAATACTACATATATGTTTAGTATGTTCAGAACATTAACAGTACAAGGGCGATGCGGTAGAGAACACAGTTGCCAGCAACTCGTGGGGAAGACAAGACTGCTTTTATTGTACAATTAACTAAACACAAGATTTTGGACTTTACAGGGAAAAAAACAGAAAAATAGTTTAAATTTGTAAAACAGAAATTCTAGAAATAGAAACATGAATTAATAGTGCAATACTAAAAACAACTTCTTCACGTTGCTGCACAGTAGATGTGCATTCATTTTACTTTTTTTAATATTTGTATATGTTCACATGAGTATGCTTTCAAATGAATTTAAGATCCAATAATTATTTAAAATTTACTGAAAGCCTGATGTCTTATTCTTTTCTTGACCCAGGGAAGAACGCAGTAGCACCATGAGAAGAGAGGCCGTCCCCTGGGACCGCCAGGAACGTCACACACACCAGCTTGTAGCATCCTTCAAGGTCAAGTCTCCACTGACACTGCCTGCTCATAACCACTGCAACCGGGAGACCTACTCACACTGGGGACTTAAGGCAAGGTCCTGGTTCCTTTTTGTCATTTCAGCGAACCTGACAGATGTCAGCTCCACTCTGGTCATCTCAGAATTCTTGTCCAGGCAAGAAACATCCCCACAATTCTATGTGATACCATGTGACTGAGTCACTTTCTCATTTAATACACTTTTTGAAATACCTCCCACGTGCCAGACCATGGGCTACCTGCTGGGGACACCAGCATGGTCTCATGGTATCACAGTATCACTGGACCAACACGGTCCCACCCAGGGATGCTCAGGGCCTAAAAGGGCTGCAGATGAGCAAATGGGCAAATGCTATAGAGAAAGTCACATGCGATAAAGATGTGAGCTCTGTGCATGAGGAGAGAAGAAGGAAGAAGTTTTCCCGACTTGATGGAGATCAGGCTCCTTGGCCAAAGAAAGTGGCAGTCAAGTTGAGAAGCAGAAGGCTCTGTGATGCCATCTTCCCAGCTTCAACCTGACTTAGATTCAGAAACATTGCACACATCTGTCACCCAAGGATCAAGCCTTTCCCGACTCCTATTTTATATTCAACCTAGGGTGAGACCCCCGCCTTGTTTTATACCCTGTTGTGGGGTCTTGCTTTGGATTGTCCTAAAGCAGCCACTTTCCAGCCTCAGGAAGGATAGCTGTGCTGAAATGGGCTGCAGGTTCCTGCTTTGCCCTGGCCCAGGCCCTCGGCAGTGGGTCTGGCCCTACTGACTCGCTGCACAGTAAGAAGAACTGAAGGAAACAGAACAAAGGAGGCTCGCCTGAACTCCCTCCACACAAGATGAGGCTCCTGACCACCATCAGCCCAGGCTGGGGGCACCAAGGCGGGAGGCTGGGAGGCTGGGAAAGGTGGAGGTGTTCATCTGCAGTGGGGAGACTGGCTCCACAACCGTCTAACTGTGTGGTCTTAAAGCAAATCATGTCATTTCTTTGGGCCTCAGTTTCCTCATCTGTGAATTGGGTGTAAACTGTGCTCACATCTCAGAATGGAAGTGGAGTTAAAAAGTTGATTCAAGGGGCGTCGTCTGAGAGACACAAAGCTCAGCCTTTATTCTCAAGTCTGGCCAGGGTTCCTCAGCCCTTCTGTCCCCACTTAAGCCAGAAACTCCTCCCTTCCAACCCAAGGCCACTCTTGGCACACCCTCCCCACAGACAGCTCCCAGGCTCACTTGGTCCCTGACTCTGGACTCCCAGGAAGCCCCCCAAGGGAGCTCAGGGGAACCTGAGGGCAGAGTGAGTGGTGAGGAGGTGACCCGACCACCCAGGCCTTCCCTTCCAGCTTTGGACCAGCACTGCTCTCGCCCTTTAAGGGAGAAGGCAGCTGCACCCAGATCCCAAAACCTCCTTCCCGACCTTTTCCTAGGACTTGCCCAGCAGGAAGTCAGCCAGAATTTTCCTATTGCCCAAAGGATGCTATGCACCCCAGCACCACCAGGTGGCCGCAAGGAATCAGCCACCACCTGTATCTCCACTCCTGGGGCTCCTGAGACAACTCATTATTTCAAAAGTGCAGAAGCCTTAATCAGAAGGGATCTCAAGACAGATAATCCAGGCCAGCCTTCTTAACCTCCTGGAGGCCACAGGCTTCGTAAAGAAGCTGATGAAAATCACTGACCCACTGCCCAGAAAACTGCCCCAGCACATACACTCAGTATTGTCACCTGCTTCAGAACTCCCCGGGACCCCAAAACACTTCCATGGATCCCACAGAACTTCTTATAACCCAGTCTAGGAATTCCTGCCCCAATCTCGGCCACCTCTCTCATTGTTTAGGTGACAAATGAGTCTCACCACCTCCACTCCCTGTAATTGACCCACACCCACGTTTATCCTGGTGAAATTCGGTAAACTTCTCCACCAGTGGAGCCTGAAAAGAAAGTCACCAAAGATTATCCTGTTTGAAGGGAGGGGCTTATAAAAGTGAGGAGGGACTTTGTGGGGTTATGGACTCATTGATTATCCATGAGCCCCAGACATGAGACTTTTTAAATCAATAACTGATGCTCCTTTTCCCAAGAGAAACCATGGCCTCACTACCACCTGCATATCAGGGCACAGAGATGGGGAGGGGGGTTATTGGAGAAGGAGGGAGCAGAAGAGGCAAAGCTGAGGACATGGGAGTGACTTCTTCCTGGTACCCTGGGGGTCCCAGGGAGCCAGTGCACTCAGGAGAACAGGCCTTAAGCACATCCAGTCCCCACAGACACACCACCACCCCAGGTTGGTTGATTACGCCCTAATGAAACTGTCAATCAACTAAAAGTCTAGGAGAAGGAAAAAAATGAAAGCAAAAATTAAACACTGGGAGAATGATGGATGACAGAAGTCAGGTGAGACCAGTAGAAACAGAGGTCCCAGTCACCTACCTTGTTTTCTCCTTGGCACCTTCTACGGCAGGGAACCTGGCCCAGGAGTCAGCGCACAAGCAGGCAGGCCCTCAGGGCTGCTGTGTGTCAGGGTCTGGGGCGGCTGAGGAGGAAGACCCTGTTCAGGAGCTCCCAGCCAAGCGGGGAAGCCAGACGCTAAGAGAGAAACGCAGTGTGAGTCATGCTGAGGGAGGGAGCCCTTCCAGAGCTGGGGTGTCAGTGAGCTGTCCCAGTGGGAATGGGACGTGAGGAAATGAGGTCCTTCAAGGGTGTTGAGTGAGATTACGTGAGCGATGGCACAGAGGCCAGAAGGGCATGTGTGAGAGCCTGACGATGCCTGGAAGCAACACAACAGAACACAGAACATTCTCCACGTCACCAGCCACCTTTGGGCATCTTCCCAGCACAGAACCTTGACTCCATTTCTGTCCACATCTTCTGTTTGACCCGCTCCCCCCAGGCACCAGCACTCTTCACAACCACGTGTGTTTGGAACTACTGCGCTGGAGGACACGGGCACATTCATTCCCACTTCCCGTGGGTTTTGTAAGTTTCCCATGTCACTCACCATGTGCAAGGCACTACACAGCACAAGGGACAGAGCAGGGCAAGCGAAACAATGCCATGCCTCGTCTGTTCTGGCAAAGGCATTCTTAGTTACTTCTTTGTTCCCAGCTCCCTTCTCAGTTTATTATCGGCCGAGGGGAAGAACAGTTGGGTCCAACCTGAGCCAAGGTGCTCACCGCCGGGCCCGTCAGTGGTAGCTGAGATCAGGATGAGACAACGATTCCTAACACAGCTTTGTGGATGGAGATGAAAAGTAACCCGGGGCAGACGGCAACGTGAGTACTGTCCAAGAGTACTGGAGATCAGGCTCCTTGGCCAAAGAAAGTGGCAGTCAAGTTGAGAAGCAGAAGGCTCTGTGATGCCATCTTCCCAGCTTCAACCTGACTTAGATTCAGAAACATTGCACACATCTGTCACCCAAGGATCAAGCCTTTCCCGACTCCTATTTTATATTCAACCTAGGGTGAGACCCCCGCCTTGTTTTATACCCTGTTGTGGGGTCTTGCTTTGGATTGTCCTAAAGCAGCCACTTTCCAGCCTCAGGAAGGACCTGAGGATCCTTCTGATCCTCATCTCCTGACCTTGGAGATCTAGTCCAACCATTCATTTTTCAGAAGGAATGGAGGCACAAATCCAGATGCTGCCCTGCCCATGGAATTAATGATTAAATTCAAAGAATCATAGCACCCTTGGCAAGGGCATCCATCAATAGGAACACCCAGTGGGCTGAGAGGATGCACCCCAAACTCACAAAAGACAAACAATTCACGTAATAAACTGACATAGGAGCGACTGTTATTTTCCCAAAGTCACAGCAGGATGTTGCCTCGACCTGGCACAGCCAAGGAATGAGGAGTTCTGGATGAATCCATTCCCAAGAAAAATGAAGCTTCTCTTGCAGCATCTGAATGGTGGCCATGTTGGCTCTTCTCGGCAGAAACCCTTTCCAAATGAATGGTGCATGGCTCTGTCTTCTTAAAAGGAAGGCCCTGGACAAAGTTAACACTTTTCTGGTCATCCCAAGGTCATTTGTTTATTCTGCAGCTGTGGACTGGGTGACAGCTACATGCCGGGCACTGTTTTGGGCGCAGGAAATACCACAGTGGCCATTGAGACAGACACGGCCGCTGCCTTACAACGTGGTGAGAAGGACACTCCAGAAAATGATTAATCACAATCAGGACACAGAGGCCAAGGAACATGACGCTCTGGGAATACCTAAGGGGGACCCAAAGGAAAGGGGAGGAAGAACGAAGGCTTCTTGGAGGAAGTGATGTTTAAGCTGGCATCAGCGCGGGAGAGGAGCAGGAAGCCGGCGGAGGAAGGGGGGAGCAGGGGGCATTCAGGCGAGGGAGCAGCAGGTGTGGGGGCGGGAGCGGGTAAGGAGTGAGGCTGGCGGAAGCTGGTGTGGCTGGAGCAGTGGCCCCTGAGCAGCGGCCATCGGTCTGCACTGTCTCAGAGGTCCCCACAAGGCTGCTGCAGGTGTTAGGAACCAGGGAGGGACACTACCATCTGCCTTTGGAAGAGATGGACGGACATCCATCCGTGGGGTGCTCTCTGGTGTGGGTGCCTGGCCACAGGACTCACCTGCGTTAGGAGTACCTTATTCTGTCAGGTTTCTGCTACTCACAGCTGCCACAGAACCACAAAATAATAGTCCTGAAGCATCCCAAAGAGACCATCTAGAGCAGGGGTTTTGATCCCAGCCGCCCAACAGAGTCGCCTGAGACACTTGGAAAAATGCCTGCGCTCGGACCCGATCCCAGATTGATTAAATCAGGGTGTCTGGGCACCGGACTCTGTGATGGGACTTTGTCAAGCTCCGAGATGGATCTAATTTCTAATGAGCAGCCAGGATGGAAATCACTATCCTAGTCCAGTCTTCCCAACCCTTTACTTTTTCTTCACAAATAGAATAGCTGTGGCCCTTCTGCACAATTATTTACCTTAGAAATGGACCCAAATCCACACTACATGAAAGCAGAGAGCGAAGCAGCAGCAGTGCTCACAGAAACCTCATGTTTAAAATACAGTTGCACTTAGGAGGAAGTGGCTCCAACTTTCTCTCACTTGGTCCAGGAAAGCAGTACATAAAACGCGGATTAACAAATTTTATTATTTAACTGAGAACAGTTTTATAGATTACCACAACCTAAAGAATGAAGTTAAACCCCTTCCTTACACATACACAAAAATTTACTCAAAATGGATCAGACTTCAATGTATGAACTAAAACAATAAAACTACTGGGGGAAAAAATTGAAGTAAATCTTCATGGCCGTGGGCGAAACAAAACCTTCTTGGATATGACAACAGAAGCACAAGAAACAAAACAAAAACAAAAAAATGGATTAAATAGAGTTCATCAAAATCACCAACTTTTGTGATGTAAACAATACAACCGAGAAAGTGGGAGAAACAACTCACAGATATGAAAAATTATTTGCAAATTGTTTGTCTGATAAGGAACTCGTATCCAGAATACCTAGCGAACTCTTACAACTTAACCATAAAAAGACAAACCAAGGGGGAAAGGGCAAAGGACCTGAATAGACATTTCTTCAAAGAAGATTTATGAATAGCCAATAAGCACATGAAAAGATACTCAACCATCAGGGAGATGCAAATGAAAACTAAAACGAAGTATCACTTCACAGCCACAAGGATGGCTGGAATCGAAGAGACAGAGGATGTGGTGATGGTGTGGAGAAACTGGAACTGTCATACATTGCTGGTTTGAATGTAAAATGGTGCAGCCGCTTTGGAAAACAACTCATCAGTTCCTCAAAATGTTAAACATAGAGTTACCATCATGACCCAGTAATTTCATTCTTAGTTATCTATCCCGGAGAAATGAAAGCATTAAAAAAAAAAAAAAGAGCCCACAGAAAAACCTGGATATGCGTGTTCATATCAGCGTATTCGTAACAGCCAAACCATGGGACCAACACAAATGCTCATCACCTGACGGATGGATAAATAAAATGTGGCATGTCAGTACAATGAAACATTATTCAGCCATAAAAAGGAACGAAGTATTGAGATATGCTACAACAAAAATGAATCTTGAAATCATTTCACCAAGTGAAAGAAGCCAGTCACAAAAGACCGCATATTGTATGATTTCATTTCTATGAAATGTCTAGAACAGGCAAATCTGTACAGCTAGAAAGTAGATGAGTGGCTGCCCATGGCGGAGAGGGTGGAGGAGGATGGAGAGGGAGCTAATGGGCACAAGATTCCTTTTGGGGGTGGGATGAGAATATTCTAAAATTGATTGCGGTGAGAGTTGCACAACTTTGTGAACATACTAAGAAAGTGTTGACTGACGCAACTTAAATGAATGATTCTGTGGTATGTAAATTATATCTCAACAAATCTCTTCTATTTAAAACAGTATCCCCACTTCCTCATTCTAAGTGGGGATGGCTCACTCTTACATTTCATGTTTTCCATTCCCTTCCTCTCCCTGTACATTTATCCCACTCATCTATCTGGATTTATGTCTCTTACCTCTGATTAGCTCTCTTTTTCTCCCTCTCTTTCCTCTCTTACCCCTCTTCTTCTTCACTTCTTTCTCCCCAAGAAAAGAATTCCAAAAAATTCTCTGTCTTTGAAGACCTGCTCGTGCAGAGATGTGGTAAGTCACCATGCAAGTGTCTTTCCAGTGAGTCAGCGAGCTTCACGGCTTTCCCCTTGTCGCAGTTATGAACTACCCAAATATATTCTGCGTTATCACATAGATCACGTCTTCAAAGGAAAAAAAAGTGGGGGATGTAGTGGGAAGAGCCTTGTACGGCAGATAGAGCCAAGGGCCAAGTTAATTCCCCAGGGAGTGGAACAGTTTAGGAAAAAGACTTTTCTGAGATCTCTTACCCAGCCACCCTGTCCTCTACAGGGGATCAGCTCGAGGAAGGCAGCAGTGACAGAGGGAACACCCGACAGAAACAGGGAGGCTGAGCTCCCCGAAGGTGACAGGTTGCATTTTCCGAGAATGGCTATGGCAAAATGGTTCTGATCTTGCGTGCTCTTCCAAATTCTTGGACAATCTCCTTACAAAGTTATAGTCTAATTCCCCACCCTTTGAATAACGTTTGGCTTTACATTTAGAGTCCTTCTTCTAATGATGAGAATCCAGAGGCAGTGATGCTGTTTGATTCCTGATGTCAGGTTAGAAAAGGTGACAGACCATCCATGTGTGTGTGTGTGTGTGTGTGTGTGTGTCACCTCCTTGGGACTCAGCTTCCTTGTTACAAAGAGGCCCAGGCCACATACGTGTTCCAGGCAACAACAAACTAAGGTCTCAGCCCACAGCCAGAGTCAACCTCCAGACAAGTGAGGGAGGAGGCGGAGAGAGGAGGGAGCTATCACATAATTTCAGGTCCCAGTTTCCACACCCAACCAGCTGACAAGTCAAAGAGAGATGAATTTTCCCTGCTAAGTCCTCCCCTAATTGCAGATTCCTGAGATATTAGTTGTCTACTACTGCACAGCAAATTACCCCATAACTTTGTGGCTTGAAACATTTCTTTTCCCACAGTGTCTGTAGATCAGGAATCTGGGCATGGCTTGGCTGGGTTCTCTGTGTC